CACTTTCTAGGGCATTCCCTGGGCATGTGCGTCAGGCTCCAGTCCTCATGGACCAAAACATTGCAGACTTCAGCACACTGCCTCATTAAACAAACCTGATTCAGCTCATCAGCTAACTAGCAAGGCCTTCATGAACTGAATTCAGAGCATTAGATGATGGGTAAATGCTAATCTCCACAGCACTTTGGCCCAGAAGGTCCCCAGTTTGACATGCCTGCCCAGGGGCATGGAGCAGGTTTATTTGGGTACCAATTATGGAAATCCGCTACTAAATTAGGATCCAGGACATCACAGACAGGAACCCAACTTTGTTCCTCCAGCCCATAACCTTCCCAGTCCACAAGGTACTCAGGCGCTCCTACACATCCTCTGGAGTCCAGCAACTGACATACAGCATAGACTGGGGCACCATTGACCTTCACCAGAGGTAATGTCACTTTGTTGGGTGATGCCTTGTCCAATGGACCTGAAATCACACGTTTAAGAAGGGACACCTGAAAGGAACTAGAAACATGGTACTGAGGAGGCAAGTCTAAACAGGCCAATGTACTTAGAAGTGACCTTCCTGCATCCCTCCCCAAACCTGAAGTCCCTCAAAGTCCCTCATCAAAAGCCATACCTGGTCCCCAGGTTGGTAGGAGAGAGTAGCTCTGCGATGATGATCTGCCAGAGCCTCGTTCTGCTGCAGTACGTCTTCCACACATTGGTGAATCTCCTCACAAACTTCCTCACTATGTTGCATCCAGTCATCAACTGCAGGGATATCGCTGGTGATCGCAGTCCATCTCGGCACTGGTGCTAGAAATACTAAAGTACACTTAAATAGAGTCAGCCCTGTAGCTGAACTAACAAGAGAGTTTTGTGCAATTTCTGCCCACACAAAAAACTTTGACCAGGCTGGGGGGTTGTAATGACAAAATATGCTCAGAAACTTTGAAACTTTCCAAGTTCTTGATTTACTTTTTCACATTGCCTGTTGGATTGGAAGTGTGAGGCTAAAAGCTGCCCTTATAAAATTAAAAATACAGACCAGACACAAGAGGTCATTTGAGATCCCTATCAGACAGAATATCTTCAAGTACACCAAAATTTCTGAAAATGTGAGTGAAAATGGCTTCAGCAGTAGGTAGAGAATGAAATGGAATAAATCCAACACCACAGGAAAATCTGTCAACAACTGTGAGACTAGTAGTATAAAGTTGCGAGGGAGGAAAATCAGTGACAAAATCTTCAGCTATTTGAGAGCATGAGTTATTGGGCAATGGCAGGGTGAGTTTACCAGTTGGCAAAGTCCTGGGAATTTTATACTGTGAGTAAATAGAGCAAGAGGAAAAAATCGGTGTATATGACTATTTGGACTATTGGTGGTTCACACCAATATCGATTAGAGAGGAGTTACTGGGTACAAAATTCTTCCACGGTGGCCTGCTGTGAGGAAAGTATAAGCCTAAGTAAGTAAGCAGTCTCTATTATTAGAGACTATTAATCTGTTTCTATTATTAGAGCCAGCACAAAATGAAATATTAAACTGGAACCTAGAGAAAACTAGTGGCCAGCGGGCCTGACAGGAATTTAAACACTAGGTTGTGCACAAATATTCTAAGTTCTTGTGGTCAGTAAGTACTAAAAATGATGTTTAGCACCCTCAAACCAGTGTTTCCCTTCTTTCAGAGCTAATTTAACAGTGAGCGGTTCTCGCATAATTTCTTCCTGCAGAGGTGAGTTTGTGTGGATAGTAGACTACTGCATGCAGCTTCTGAGGATTTCCACAGCGTTAGGGCAGAACCACTCCTACAATAGTCTTGAAGGCATCTACCTCAACAACAAAAGGCTCAAACAGGTCGGGATGCTTAATGACAGAGGCCGAGGAGAACACCTCCTTAAGCACATGAAAGGCATTATCAGCTTGGAGGGACCAAACTAGTTTTTTGGCTGCCCTGTTGAGAAGAGCAGTAAGGGGATCCTTTATGAAACACTGATTTCCAGCAGATTGAGCTGAAGATGGAGCAGTTGTTTGAGAACTTGACAAACGTGTTGAACGTGTGGGGTGAAGTCAAGGGTATAAATCAGAATGTCATCGATATAAACGCTAACAAATTGTCCAGTTGTATCTCTCAGGACATTGTTAATGAATGCTTAAAGATGGAAGGGGCATTAGAGCATACAAATGGCATTACCAAATATCCATAGTGCCCATAGTGACAAAGGCTTTTTCCAGTCATTGCACTCATTTATTCTAAACAAGTTGTAAGCATACCTAAGACCTAATTTACTGAAGATTTTGCCTCATCTTAGTTGTGCTAATGCTACAGGAATAAGTGGTAGAGAATATTTCTTGCTGATTTGATTAAGACTCCTATAGTCTATACAAGGGTGGAGTCCTCATCCATCTTTTTGAAGAAGAAAAAGCCTGAAGCTGCCAGGAAAGCAGACAGATGAATAAAACCTTGTGCTAATGCCTCTTAGATGTACTCCATGGCTAGTTCTTCTTCCTGAGTAAGGGGAAACACTCAAAATCTGGGGAGAGTGGACCCTTCTATTAGATCTATAGCACAGTCATAGGGACGATGAGGGGAAGCTTGGTAGCATTTTTCCGAATACCTCATGGAGGTCAAAATATTCTTTGAGGATGTTAACTTTTTTGTCTGTCTCAGGGCTTTCTGTGGAGGTGAAACAAACAGCTAGATGGTAATTGTAAACAATGCTCTAGATAGTGAGATGACCAGGACAATAGCTCTAGGTCAGACCATGAAATTAGTGGATTGTGCTTCTGTAGCCATGGCAACCTTAATATTACAGAAAAATCAAGAGTCAGAGTCCAAAACAAGAAAAGAGATGAGTTCTGTGTGTAGACCACTGGTATCTAGCTTAATGGGCTTGGTGACATGTGTGATAGATGTGGATTTCTCCATCTGAAGCCACAACTCTACTGGAATCTCCAGATGTTCCACAAGAATCTGGAGGTCATGGCATATTTGGGAATGGGAAATACTTTTTAGCGTTTAAATAGGCAAATGAACAGGCGAAACAAACTAGAAATCAGGTGATGAGGAACAGAGGATTAGTTGTAGGTGAACAGGAACAGTTCTGTGATTGGTTGTAGGTGAAACATGATCTCCTGAGGGTGTCTGGGAGGTTAAAAGGTGGTTGTGAGTGGAAGTGTCAGAGACTGCAGGGCTGAATGGAGGTCTGACACAATGCTGTTCAGTAAGTCAATCTTCACAGTGGTCTAATGTAACACAGATGTGTTTATTAATGGTATGTAATCAACTTATATGTTACTGAGTAAATAATATGATGATGATGTACAGAAGATACAGTAAATAAGACAAAGTCCACATTGAGAAAACTATCTGAATATTACCCAGTAAAGAGATAGATAAAGAGAGAGAGAGGACCAGAGGTCTGGTCTCTCCATAGAGTCTCCTTCTCCATGAACTTGTTCCACTCCCTCTGGCCCTCTATCCTCTCACCAAACTCAGAGCTCCTTCCCTATTTATCACTGACTAAACTGTTATTGTTTAAAATCTAGAGGTTGTTTAAAATCTAGAGATTGTTCTGACCAATAAAAGTGACCATAAGTTGGAAATATCTCCCACCTGAAACAGCACCACCAAGTCTGTGAAATACAGATGCTGATAAGAAGTGTCTGTTTGTGGTGGGGGTAGAGCAGCTCCTCAAAAAGACATGCTACAGACCTTTTTAACCTGCAGATGGTTCAGCATCTCCTGTTAAAGGAAATCAGAAGTGAAACAGGAAACTGCAGACATGAAGTGTGAAAACGGAAACACCATCAGTCTTTTTTCCATTTTGTAGATAGAAGAGAATCAGACAGAATAAATAACTCAAGTTCACCTCAGGTTCATAAACCCACTCTGTACTGTTTAAGCAGTCTGTCCAGCTACTGTGGAGCTTTTATTCTATTAGCTTTACTGAGATTATTATAATACAGGAAACAGGATTATCTGTATTTTTCTAGCACATTTCTAATGATCAAAGTCATGAATTTGAGGCCTCAAAAATTCCTGAGGTCTTAAATATGTAAAAATACAAAGATCTTATATTGCATTTAAACTGTATTTGTATTAAATTGCTACTGGTGTTATGAAGATCTTAATTTAAGTTTAATTCCTGTCAACTAATTATTTTACTGATGAAGTGCTTATAAATAACCACAAAGAATCAAGAGATAAAATAGATAACGTGATCGCTGTGCACTAATATTGTCTGGTAATATAAGCAGATCATATTCTGTGAAAATGGGGTTAGCCGTCAACCTTTTAATTAAAACTGTGAACATGTATTAAAATAATTTCTGCACATCAACAAATCTTCTGTGAACTTTAGTGCCTGTAAACACTCTTATTGCTCTATTATTGTAAAAAGGCATTTAAATAATAGTGAAAAGACCAGAATCTCCTTACGGAGATCTCTCTTCCTGATGCTGTCTATTTATCTGTCTCTCTCTCTCTCTCTCTATCTGGTTATCTAGCTATCTAGCTATCTTTCTGTTTGTCTGTATGTCTGTTGTCAAGGAGTTTCTTGCTGTTTTTCTCTGAACAAGATTAGAGAATATTTTCATATTTCATTATCTTTATGTTTAAAAGTTGTATGTTTGAGTGATATACAGCACTGTAAAGTGAACTTTAATCCTTTTCACTGATTTGCTGTGACGTTACACTGATAAGTCTTCAATCATGGCTCCTCATTTCAGCTCTTTTTAACCATTTATTGAGCTGAGAAATGTGACTGTCTGCTTTTAGAATAAAGAGATGAAGAGAAATATTCTTACTTCTGTGCTTCTGGTACAAGAACTGGTTAAGAACACAGCCTGATTTCCTGTATTTATCAGAGTATCTGAGGAGAAAGGAGATCTCATTAAGTAAACCTGTCCTCTGGTGTTTGAGTTACTGACAGTTTAATTGGGTACCTGTCATAGTCCAGGCTCCGCCCCCTCCTGGCTCCAGGCCCCGCCTTCTCAACCAGTCCTTATTAACTCTCTCTTCACTCACTCCTTGTGAAGTGTTTGGTGTTTTAGTTGAGCTCGTCTCTCTTGTGCATCCAGACTCCCTCATTCCTCACAGTAAGTAACTTTTTTGAGAAGTTCTTTCAAAGCATTTTCTTCTAGTTATGGATCTGAATGAAGAAACTAATGGAGAGTTTAGTTATTTTAGGTCAGTAGGCTCTTAAAGAAATGGTCCTTGCTGTAGATAAAGCGGCGCTCTGACACTGATAGGGTTTTCTTTTGATGGAGGTAGCTTTGATGTTGAGTTAACTTTTGTTAAACTCTCAGTGTTTCAATGTTATTGCAATGCAGAAGTGATTAAGAATCATCACATCAGATTAGAGCAGAGATTCAGTGCAGTTAACACTGATGCTTTAATGTTGATTTAACATGTACTTAATGACTATTTGCTATCTGGGTATCCATCTGCACTCCTTTCTTCACTCCTTTCTTCACTCTGTTCTTCACTCCGTTCTTAACTCAGTGGTGGTGATAGGAACCAGGGGTCGCCATGACGACAACATAAATATAGACATTTTATTTACTATCCAGAACCACCAGTGAACCTAAACCATGGATGGATTTTAAAATACATTCCAGGAGCAAAACCTTCTCAAGAGTGTTGCAGTAGGGTATACTAACACTACTGAGATGAATCTAACTGAGGTCTAGAATTTCTACTGGGTTTGATAGTGGCAACTTTTAGATGGCTAAACTATCCAAATTTGAGATGTTCTTATCTGGCAGAATTATATATGGGTTATAATTATTAGGGGGTTATATGGTTGTGTTATAATTAGTAGGGGGTTATATGGTCGTGTTATAATTATTAGGGGGTTATATGGTCATGTTATAATTAGTAGGGGGTTATATGGTCGTGTTATAATTATTAGGGGGTTATATGGTCATGTTATAATTAGTAGGGGGTTATATGGTCGTGTTATAATTAGTAGGGGGTTATATGGTCATGTTATAATTAGTAGGGGGTTATATGGTCGTGTTATAATTATTAGGGGGTTATATGGTCATGTTATAATTATTAGGGGGTTATATGGTCGTGTTATAATTATTAGGGGGTTATATGGTCGTGTTATAATTAGTAGGGGGTTATATGGTCATGTTATAATTAGTAGGGGGTTATATGGTCGTGTTATAATTATTAGCGGGTTATATGGTCATGTTATAATTATTAGGGGGTTATATGGTCGTGTTATAATTATGAGGGGTTTATATGGCTGTGTTATAATTATTAGGGGGTTATATGGTCGTGTTATAATTATGAGGGGTTTATATGGCTGTGTTATAATTATTAGGGGGTTATATGGTCGTGTTATAATTAGTAGGGGGTTATATGGTCATGTTATAATTATTAGGGGGTTATATGGTCGTGTTATAATTATGAGGGGTTTATATGGCTGTGTTATAATTAGTAGGGGGTTATATGGTCGTGTTATAATTATGAGGGGTTTATATGGCTGTTTTATAATTATTAGGGGGTTATATGGTCGTGTTATAATTAGTAGGGGGTTATATGGTCGTGTTATAATTAGTAGGGGGTTATATGGTCATATTGACTGAGGAATTTATTACAGACTGCAGAGGTTTAACAACACAGGAGTGGATCTGTTTGAGCAGTTTTGCAGGTACTGGGTCAAGAATGCATGTTGATGATTCGGATGAGCTAATCAGTGACTAATTCATTTGTTTGGACAGGACTGAAAGATAGCCACTGGACTTCACCCATCATGTTGTGATATTAGATCTATAGGCACATTTTGGATTTGTAGTCTAATATTTTCTATTTTATTATTGAAGAAACTGCTAAAATCATTTCTGCTGTGTGTTGTTTGAATATCGTCTTCAAACTGTTTAATGCTGCCAGTTAGACTGGATATAGTCGTGAACAGGATCTCAGGATTACTTTTGTTAGTCTTAATTAGTGATGAAAAATAGGATGTTTTGGCTACGAGCTTTTTGTTTTGGTCATTGTACCATGGTGAAGCTTTTCTCCTCTAACTTTTTTCATCTTAATCGGTGCCACGTTATCAAGAGATGACTGAAGTGTGGATTGCAGAATTTCAGTATTTCCTTCAAGATCATCGAAGCCCAATGGGGCAGGGATGATGGGTAAATCTGGTAAACTGTTTATAAGAGCATCCACAGTGGAGGCAGTGATAGAGGGATGGTACACAAACATTGTAGCCCAGAAGGACTTCATGCATAATTAAATAATGATCAGAAATGCTTTCATTCTGAGAGACAGTTAAGTCTTCTATCCTGATTCCCACTGATAGTACTAAATCTAAGGTATGGTTGCTGCGGTGTGTGGCCCCATCACATTTTAGTCCGGTCAGTCCTATGAGGTCAGTTCAGTGTGTAGCAGTGTTTGTTTACATGTGGCACTATTCATATATTGACTCCTTAATGACTTCGTAAAGAGATGGAATGAAATGGAGATATTCTGAAGAGAAATGTTTTTACCATATGATGTGACAGTGGTTCATTTTTATAATGAATAAATCCAGTTTAGACTGGAGCTCCTAATCTGGACCTGACTCAGACTACAGGACAGTGTAGTGACTCTTTATTGTAGTGACTCTTATCCATTTTAGATTTGTAGGCCTCATCTATGACTGTGTTTTTTGGCAGTTTGTGGATCAGATTTTGTCTGTTTGCTTCCCCTTCGTCTGACAGACTTTAATTAAAATCTGCATTTCCATCCCAGTGAGGTGTTCTAGTGTTCAATACTTTACAGTTTTACTAACGGGGACAGTAATTCTAGACGTCTCTGTCCCTCTAACAGACTTAAAGACTGGGGTTTAAAAGTAAAAGCTTTAAAATTAACCTAAACTAGACACTAACTTTGACAGCTATAGACATTGTATAGACATAATTTTTTAATTAATTAATTAATTTTAATTAATTACATTTTTTTGTAATTATTTTCAGCCTGAAGAACCAGGTTAAAGAGTTCTAGTAAGGTCCTGTGGAGGTCAGGAGAGTCGTTTTTCAACATCTCAGTCTTGGTGCTGTGAGGGCCACAATTTTTCTTTATTTTCAGGATGTGAAGTGTGTCTGCCAATCCTATAGGGGGCATTTCAAGATCTAGTGGGTTTTGATTGTGTTTGATAGCCAAAAAATTTCTAATTTATTTTGTATGTGTTTTTTACAGACAGTACAATCAGGCAGTACATTTGCTGTCTTCACAAGCACGGCTCTATCACTCTGCTTACTTCATTCACTCACACTGACAAATTTGCCAGAGAACAGTGAGTATTTTAAAAAATGAACGACAGTCTCTAACTCCTTCTCTTGTTCCTACAGTTGGATTGTCATGGCTGAGAACAATGGGAACGTACCAAACCCTAATCCTGGGCAGAATCCTGAGTGAGTAACTGAGCTCATGTTGAGCGTCTTTAATGCTGTATTGAATGTTCAGAGTGTTTCCTGAGCTGACCTGATCTGAGTTCAGGCTACACGCCTCATAAAGCAGAATCAGAATCTTTATTAGTCGAGTACCTCGTGAAGAAGGAATTTTTTGTGGTGCAGCTGTCAACATAAAACTAAATGTAAGTACAGAAAAATACTACATATAAACATAAAATAGGCAGTACAGAAATAATCTCCAAGTAAAAGGATGTGCAGTCCTTTGGGGGATACAAATACAAGTACTGGGGTACATATACAGTATGTACAGCTAAAGGAACTGAGCAGCAAATATGAATGTAAATGTAGACATACTTATTAAAAATGAATGTTGTAACAAGTTAAAGTGCATATGTACATGGACTACAATACAGGAGAGTAAGAGTGTCATGTGTGTACTGAGCAAGGAGGCTGGATGTACGTGCGAGCAGATTTTAATGAACAAAACAGACTGCTAGAAACATTTAACACAAAATAACAAACTACTACACTTATTAAAGAAACACTTTGAGTAAACCAAACATGATGCAGCCACACAACATCTAACGAAGTGAGGAGTGGACCAGACAAACAGTGACTGAAACAAATGGCTTTACCAAGTCCAGAATGAACGGGGAACACCTGGGAGAGGGAGGAGACAGACTACAGACGGCTGATGACCATAAAGGGAAGGTGGGGAAAGGGGCGGGGCATGGTGTATTAAATAATAAACTATAAACGTGACTGAGAGAAGCTCCAGTGTGGCGTGATTAACAGCTTTAAAAGATGAACTGGTGTATTAAATAATAAACCATAAACATAACTGAGAGAAGCTCCAGTGCAGCGTGTGACTCACAGTTTTACTGAAATGTGGACATACAGGCTGAAGTCTGAGCTGAGGAGAACTGAGTGAACATTCAGATTTCCAAAACTGAGAGAGTGGTACAAATCATTTTTCTCTCTAGAACGCTCTAGAACATGTATAAGGAGTTTCATCCCCACAATGACAAACACATCATCAACACCCCTAATTCTGTACTACTAATACAGACAGAGTCAAATCTCTTTCTTTTGTTCCTGTAGTTACAGTGGCCTGATCCATAACCTGATTGGGGACATAGAGGAGACCCTCACACAGAACCCTGACAATATTGGTTTATTAAAGTGAACACATGAACTGCCTCTTCAATGCTGTACTGAACATTCAGAGTGAATCCTGATCTGAGCTGAACTGAGTTGGACTCATAAAGGTTCAATGGTTCAGAACAGAGGAATCAAACTGGGTTCCTTCCAGACCACAGCTCTGCAGAGTTTAGTGTTCCTCCTTATTAAACACACCTGATTCACCTGATCAGCTCATTAACAAGTTCTTCATCAGCTGAATTCAGAGAGCTAGAAGATGGAGAACACTGATCTCTGCAGAGCTGAGAGCCTATAGGAACCCTGTTCTTCCGTCTTACTCATAAGGCTCTAGAATACATATAGTCCCCTACACAATAACTGGAACCACTTGTAAAGATGAGTTAAAAGGGTTAGAAAACATTCTGCTTAATCTTTAACTTAAAGACAAATTAAGAAATAATTATTTTTTGTTCCAAAATTACTGGCACCCCTAGAAATTCCTAGAAACAGGACTGACCACAAACCATGTTTTGTCTCTTCTGTTATATTCTCTGTATGCCAGTAACTGTATGTCAGATTCTGGTTCTGTCAAGCTGTATAAGTTTGCATATGATGCTACATTGTTAGGACTGGTCAAGTATTGAAGCTTGAAACTTAATCATTAATTTTCAGCTTGATGTGCAAAAATCTTACAGCTAGTGTTTGTTGTGTTCGTGTCACACAAATGTCCATCGCTTTTTTATAAAGCAGCGTCTCTGGACATAGTGTCAAGTCTTTTGGTCGCTCCCAAGTCAGTTCACTATGTACCAAATGCTATATAGAGAACAGCTCTAGTCATTCGTCAACATGAGAAAGATAAAAGAACACATAATTCAAATAAGATGAAAGTGTGTTGATCTTCATAAGGGAATGAATATTAAAAACTGCTTCTTGTCTGAACATGCCCATCTCTACAGTTAAGCAATAATTCAAAAGTTCCACTCAACTGGAACGGTGACAAACTCGCCTGAATGAGAACCCAAGTTTATTTTGTCCCCTCACTCAGTGAGAAAGTGAGAGAGGCAAAAAATCTCAAGGATTTACAAAAAAGTAGCATCTTGGAGTCACCAAGTCTCAAAACTACCATCAGACGCCACCTCCATGCCAACAGATTATCTGGAAGGCATGCCAGGAAAAAGCCTTTTCTGTCCTCTAATCTCAAACGTTAGAGCCTGGAGTTTATTAAACGCTGCTGGGACTGGAACCGGTTCTATGGACAGATGAAATGAAAATCGAGCTCTCTAGATCAGGACTAAGATCAGGACTGAAATCTGGATGAATGTTTTGCAGTGTGCGATCAGCATCAGATTACAGGTTTCTGACTGTGTGATGTTGATTAAGTTTAACTGTTGATTCTTTAGTAAATTCAAATTTTACACTTTATACTAAGAAATATCAAGTGTTTGAAAATATGAAAAATATTTCCTAATCTCTTTCTCTTATCCCTATAATTACAGTCAGCAGATTAATGCACTGATTTGCTTCATAGAACATATCCTCAAAGAGGACCTTGGTCTTTTGGAGAATCCTGCGTAAGTACACAGAGCATGGGCACAGCGTCTTTAATGTTGAATTAAATGTTCTGAGTAAATATCTTGAAAATGTACTGTTGATACATTACTTACATTAAGTAGATGTATTGTTGACAATGTATGTTGTATGAAGTAGCCTTAATATGTTACTTCCATTATGGAAAACCCAACCTT